ATACTAAAATAGCAAACTTAGATACTTGAGAATTCCAGCTCACAATTTCTAAGTTTTTTAAAAGATTAAAATTTAGTCGACAAAGGTCTATTAAAAATACTGGAAAAATATGAAATTTAGGTAGCATCAGTGACCTTAAAGAATTCTAAATGATCCTTTCTGGAGAAATAGTGATTCCATCAAGTACAACATTGAAAATACATTTTATCAAAGAGAAGGGATTAAGCAGCAGAAATTAGCAGCTATAAAAACAGTCATGGGGATGTAAAGTCAATTATATTGTAACTAGAGGCCCGGTGCATGAAAATTCATGCACTGGAGGGGGGTCCCTCAGCCCGGCCTGCCCCCTCTCACAGTCCGGGAGCCCTCAGGGGTGGGAGGTGACCCAGCGATCAGGGGAAGGCGATGCCCCATCACACCTCTGCTGCTGCCACTGCCAGCACAAGCCTCAGCTGGCCCTGGTTACCTGCGCCTCAGGAGGTCCTGGGCGGCTGGGCAGCCAACATCCGAGGCTTGCCTGCACCTTGGGCCGGCCCTGGGCGGCTGGGGGGCTGAGGGGACTGGGGGACTCTGGAGGCAGGCACGTGCCTGCCACCTCGATGGGGCTGAGGGGACTGGGTGCTGCCATCTTTGAGGGTGGGGCAGTCAATTAGCATATTCCCTCCTTATTGGCTGTGGGCACTGCCATCTTTGAGGGCAGGGCAGTTAATTAGTTTCAAATTCTGGGCCCCCCAGTATGGAGGAAACTCTCTTTATTTATACTTTCTCCAGTCCTTTGTCTCCCAAATTTGGAATGAGACTTCCGGGCCTTCTGAGAAAGGCCTACATGCTGGGAAGGGGCCATGAGACCATATCTCAAGGCCTGGCCTGATGTCAGCACCTTCCTATCTATGTGTTTTAGGAACAGACAGCACAGCATGACCTGTCTGGCCGAAGCGCCAGATATGCAGCCCAGCACAAGTATCAGGGTGATCACTCCATAAGTATGTAAATGTCTAATCCCTATTTTGAACACCTGAAACTAATACAATATTGTATGTTAACTGTAATTGGAAAATTAGAAAAATATTTTCAAAAGAGTACATTTTCTCCTAAAAAAATGTAAGTGTATGGTAGCAAGACTGTATGTGTGTGTATGTGTGTGTGTGTGTGTATATATATATAAGTATATATATATATACACACACACAAATATTCTTCCATCAAAATGAATAAACATTATAAATGATAACATACATTTATTCACTTTCTTAATGCACTATATATATATATTTGGAGTAAAAAAACTCTAATGTACAACCCACTCTAGATCTTCTTTGTTGATGCACTATAGGGAGAGCAAGAATGCATGAAGTTGACTTGTTCACTTGACAGATAATCTGAACACATATTATATGCTAGAATTGTGTTAGGCAATGCCATTAGGAATAAGACAGACATGCTTTCTGCCCTTGTGAAGCTGACTGTCTAATTGAAGAAACTGCCACATAAGCTACTGCAACAGAGGATGACAAATACTGTTAGGGGAAGTACAGGGCTCTCTGGATCGGAAGGAGTCAGAGAAACTCTCCTGGAGGACATGATGTCTGTGGAGACATTCAAGCTGTGGACCTGTTGGTGGGGAGGGGTTAACATTCTATACAGGTAAAGCATGTGTAGAATTCTAAGTGAGAAAGCATTTCTCTCTCAGGTGGAACTGAAAAATAAATTCAGTATTGCCGAGTTTTGGAAAGGGAGGGTGGTAATATAAGGAGAGGAAATATGAAAGAACCAGTTCACGAAGGGCCTTGTAAAACATATTAAGGAGTAAAGGAATTTATCATATGGCAACAGGAAGCCACTGAAAATATTTAGGCCATGGAGATCAAAGTTATTGTTTGAAAGATTATTCTGACTATAAACTGTAAAAATGAAGGCAGAGAGACCATTGAGAAATCTGAGACAGCAATGTAGGTGAGATGATGATGATGGTATAGTGGGAATGGGGAGAAGTGAAAAGAGTACCATTTTAGGAATTAAAATAGGCAGGGCTTAGTGACTGATTTTATAGATGGGCAGGGTAGGAGGGGATTCTGCCATTTGCTGAGATTGGAAACAGAAAGAAGAAAGGGTTTAGGAGAAGGATCCTGAGTTCCTTTTTTGAACAGACTGAATGTGAGGTACTAAGGGAAAAGCAAGTACAATGTTGGGCAAGCAAGTGAATGTTTAGATCTGATACTCTGTGCAATGCCCTTTACTGGGGATGCAGACTGGAGAGTTCTTAGTATGAAATGGTAACTAAAGCCTGGGAGTGGTGATGTTGCCCAAGGCAACGTGTAGTGTTGAGAGAACAGGCTGTTGGGAAAAAACCTAAGGAACACCAAAGTTAGGGAGAGAAATAGGAGCTCTCAGTACAACAATAATTTTGAAGCCATAATTTGTACATTATTTTATATTCTCCTTGGCCAACTCTATTACCAGAAGTACTAACAGCTATGAAAGTCTTATTTGATTTTTGCCCTTCTCTTACCTTACAAAGCCATAAATTGGCAATGAAAGCATTTAAAATTAATCTACAAACCACACAAACATCCCTTGGTTGCTCAATACCTAGCTTTGGCTATGCTGAGCTTCCTACTCTACAACAAATCTTTACTCATGCTGCAATTTGCCCTCCATCAGTTCTGTGGCTGTTTCTTATTTCTGATTGTCTTTAATGGATTTGCAGCTCAGTGACAGCCAGGAGAGATTTTCTCTGATCAAAATGTCTGACTAAACAGAAATGTCTGTCAAAAGATGACCCTGGTCCATAATTTCCACATGGAAAAGATCCAAATACATTTTGGGCTGGGCCCAGGGGGATTTGCCTCAATATACTTCCTTTTGTATCTGTGGGAGTAGAAATGGGTATGTGGTCTCCAGAGTGGCTAATCACTGGTGTGCAGATATATGTTTAACAATTGGCTGGCCAGGAAAAAAGAGCCCTGATTTGTTGTGTTTGTCAGTTTTTAAAGTATAAACACCACTACAACCACCACCGAGAACTGCAAGCTACCAACTCAATGTCACTGAAAACAGAGTAGGGGGAAATGTACACAGTTAGCTTTTGCAAGCCAGTGTGAGCTAGCTCCAGCACATTAATGGACCAAGAATGGTCTGACTGGTCGCCAGGAACGGGAAACTACCTTGTATATAACAGTTTAGGATATGAGAAGAGTAAATTCTAATACTGAATTTTTATTCTGATGAAAATTGATTCACCTATATTCAGTTTATTTGTAGATCTTTTGCCTTTGAATCGAAAGCTGGTGGTATGAGTAATGTGTCAATAACTTAGTATTTGTCAACTTATGTATTTTTTTTATAAGTGATAAGTTTCTAAAATTGATTTGTATATGAAATTGAAATAATTAAGAATCATTTTCAATCTACTTCTTTATATCATGAACCAAAGAAATGACCAGTTTCTTTTCATTTTGGGGTATCAGAATACTTTGCATTCTAATATATTTCATTAAAAAATATTTTATTTCCAGCAAATAAGCAAAGTTTGCCTTTTCCCTATCAAAGCAAACACTTTGATGGTATACTGATGTAACGAATAATATATGCAGAAAGAATAGCAGCAAAATATCTAATTTCTTTATATAATTTAATATATATACTATTAACACATTGTGCAGAAACATAGTATTGTTAGTATACTAAATAATTACTATTAAAACTTACTTTTAAAATACTTTCAACATGAGGCACTGGTGGAACCAGAGTTGTTATTATGCATACTATGTATTTTTCACATTCCAAAGGGAAATTAAAATTCCTGGTAGCATAGAAAAGAATGCACATTTTAATATTTAATGCAGGTATAAAAAATCTCATGGCTTCTATTAAAAACTTCACAATTCCACTGTGCACAAATGAAGACAGCTTTTCAAATAACTTACACTTGGCCGAATTTATAAAGGTGACCATAAACATACTGCAAGCCCAATGAAAACACAATGGTATAATACAAAATCTTTTTTCAAAGTCAAACTTTAAAAGGCCTATATTTATACAAATGTACAATATGTTTTAGTACCCAATGACTGGTATTTTTGTTCAGGATTATCTGATTTAAAAAATCTAACTTGAATATTTTTTCATTAATTTTCTGCTTCAGAATAGAAAACATGGAGAACTTATAGAATAAATTTAAAAAACAGGACTGGGTAAAAAATTCACAAAGTGGACTAGTATACACTTAACATCATTTAGTGATTGCCCTGCCAAAGGTAAAAATGCTGCAATGTTCCATTTTCCTCTTATTTAACTTGAATTTTTAGATAATTATCTTAACTACCTCTCCTTTGTATATATAGAAACTCTTTGAGACAAAAGTGTAAAAATTTTAGGTTCTCTGACAAAAATCTAAAATGTCACTAAGCCATTTTCCATTTTCAAAGTGTATTTAAAGAAATGCTTATCTATACTAATGAAAGGGTAATGTGCTAATTAGACCAGATATCTTCCGGACGTCCTTCCAGACAAAGCCATGGTGGCAGGGGCCAAGGCAGAGGCAGTTAGGGGTGATCAGGCCAGCAGGGGAGGGCAGTTGGGGGTGATCAAGTTGGCAGGGGAGGGCAGTTGGGGACAATCAGGCCGGCAGGGGAGCAGTTAGGGGGCGATCAGGCCAGTAGGCAGAGGCAGTTAGGGGTGATCAAGATGGCAGGGGAGGGCAGATAGGGGGCAATCAGGCCAACAGGGGAGCAGTTGGGGGTGATCAGACCGGCAGGCAGGCAAGCGGTTAGGAGCCAGTGGCCCTGGATTGTGAGAGAGATGTCCGACTGTCCCTGTGGGATTGGGCCTAAACCGGCAGTCGGACATCCCCCAAGGGGTCCCAGATTGGAGAGGGTGCAGGCCAGGCTGAGGGACTCCCCCTCCTCTAGTTTCAATATAAATTTCCAAAGTGCTGAATGAAGACACATTAATAATTCCACTTTAGCCTTAGAGGAATATTATTACAATTGGCTGTTAAATTCCACTTAAACATTTGGTTTTTATTCTGTAATACTGTAATTTCCAATACATATATCAAAGAAATGAACTGATCCCCCACCCCTCAAAACAATAGTTAAGTATTTCAGCTATAATACAAATCAATTTTTTTTTGGGGGGGGGAAGTAATTCTTGCCAAGATAAATTGATTTTTAAAGTCTTAGAATAATTTTTATAAAAGAACTATAAAATATTAATTTTGAAAAAACAAAAACACTGCAAATGTCTCTCTCTAGGAAAAAATATGCAACTTGTTAGGTACAAGAAAATATAGCATTACTATGGGGTACAACTAACTATGGATCTGGCTTAGAGACTTTAAAAACTCACAAAAAGTAATTAGCACCAAAAATTATCTAAAACTTCAAATGATATACTGAAGTGATTTCAGGCCCACATGTTTCATTGTAAAAAAGTTATATTTAATTTGGGAAGTTTCCCAAGCAATAATAAATATATTATTGTCAATCTGTAGAAGATGTGCTAACTTTACTGATTTTCATAAAAACGTTAAGGTAGTGTATAGTAATTATCATATACAATGGTTTGGGCTGAGCAGGGACAATAGAAGTCCAAATTATTTCCCAAATAATATGGGGTTATTTGGTGGGAGTGGGTAGGGAGAAATTCCCCAAGTACAACTTATTTTTAGCTTATTGTTTCATCATTTTTCTTCTAACATATTTTACTGGAGGTCTTTATTAGACCTATATTGCCCACTTTGAACTCCATATCCTGTTATTTTCCCTGCTCACTTGGTGGTGGTATTTAAGATTTGGCATGGAAATAGGGATATTTAAAAATGGGCACAGATTATAGGATTAAAACAAAAGTTTTGAATAAGCTACAAGATGTATATTGAACCCTGTTATAATCAAGAGTTGAGTTTTATTTTAAACAATATCCACTTATAATTATATTATAAAACAGCACACAATTTGAAACAAGGCAAACTTTTTTGGCTTTCATGTAGTGAAATATATAACTTCACTAATTATTTTTTATATGGCTACCAAATGTCGCCCAACAGCTCATTCGGCCATATTTTAATGTTGTACATAAATAATGACAAGGCAAAGAACAGCAACTAGTCCAAAGGCTTGTAGGCCAAGGAACCACAGCATAGCCCAAAAGAAAATGATGATCACTGGTTCCACAATCCGTTCTCCAAGGTACATCCTCGTAAAGCCCATGTTGATAAGGTTTTTGTTCAGCTCACCAAAAAGTGTTCCCATCTTTTTGTAGTCATCTCCAACAGGATCACCAGCATGGTTCTGTGATTCTTCACAATCCTTTAAAGACAAAAGGACAAAACAAAACATAAACATGAAAATGAGAAATAGGTGAAGGTTTTTAAGAATAAAGGCAGTCTCATAATTCTTCGTTATCTCCCAAAGTACTGGAAGTAATGATTATATTTCTGATAACCATTCAATAAATACTTGGAATGTTCCTTTTGATTGACATATAGAACAACTGTGCCTGTGCTCAGCTTTCAAGAATGTGGAAAGCACTGATTTATTTTCTGTGAAAATCAGCATCGACTGATCTTCAACTACCAGAACACTGATTTATAAGATGAAGGAAGGACCTGATTAATATTCATTTTTCTAGTTTCCTGGAATTACAAAAAGACAGCTAGCTGCTTACCTGAAGAGCCATGTTTGTATTCCTCTTATCAGTGGCCATAATTTCAAAACAACATTTTCCCAGCAACCTCGTTTTTTGAGGCAGGGCCCTGGATTTGTAAGGAAGCTTTTTTTTTTAGTGTGTTCCTTTGACACTAAGACTTTACGGATCCTAGCCTCAGCTGACTGGAGCATATCTTGCTGCTACTATTAAACAATCCTTAGTCATTACTGCTATGATCTTTCAGCCTTTGCCTCAGCTAAGGAGACTTCAGCATAGGCCCTTGCATAGTTTCCTGTTTAAATTCTACAAATGTCTTAAATGCCTCTTATTAATCTCATAGAGAGAAATACATAGTTTACAAATAGAAATAATTTTGTACAATAAGCCCAAAAGTTCACCTAGAAGTCAAGTCTGTTCCCCAGAAAATGTCCATGTGTACCCAATTATACATGTCAAGAGAAAAATTCTGAGATACCCAAAAATTATCCAGCTGCCTTCCTATCGACACTTGCAGATTTACCACTTTCACATTATGCAATGAATAATGAACTTTGAATTGTTTAAATCACCCAGAGCTAGTAGAAAATTCAACACTGTAGTAGGGTCCAGCCCTTTCTTTCAACATCACAAACTTTTTGCTTTGGCTGTGATTGCCACAGCACTGAGTGGGATAGCTTCTATGTTTGCCCTTCAATCCATGTCATTAGAAGTGTCTCTCTGCTTGACTTTTTGTTAGTCCCCTTGTCTTCAAAGAAGCTGACACTTTAAGAGCTCAAGCCACTTAGTTCTTGTTCTTTAAGATCACAATTGTGGTGAAAGGAACATGCCTGACCCGTGACCAATAACCATCATGGATTTTCTACCATCGTAGTCTATAATCACTTTTAATTTCATTTCCAGGTCAATCACTGGACATGGCCTCTTACTGGCAACATAAGCAGTGGATTTTGTAGGATTAGGACCCATGATGAACAAAACAACATGAGATTATATCAAGCACAAGAGAAAATGATGCATGCAAGAGATATAGCAAACACAAGATATATGAGGCTGGAGGAGGAGAAACCAAGATGGCGGCATAGGTTAACGCCAGAGATTGCTGCCTCGAACAACCAATTCAAATTACACCTAAAAGACGGAACGGACATCATTCAGAACCACAGGAGGGCTGGCTGAGTGGAAATTCTACAACTAGGAGTAAAGAGGATATCATACCCAGACTCAGAGGAGGCGCAGTGCTGAAGTGAAATTCTCAGGTGTGTGCGCGTGGAGCGGGCTGGCGGCGCGAAGGGCGTGGTTGTTGTTTACACTCGGGAGGG